GGTGGCGGGGCTGGGCCGGTGTTCAGTCGCGCTTTAAATTGTGCGGGGCAACGGGCTGTAGCTGGGGAGGGATATCGTTACAGTGTGCTGTGAGTCGCGCATTGAGCTGTGCCTGCAGCGAGCCGCCTCTGCGGGCCTTAAATCCCGCACTGCAGGCCCAGAGCCCGCCGCGTCTGGGGGTGCCCTGGGAATTAGGTGTGCGTGCAGCGGGCTGCCATAAATTGTGCGTGAAACGGTCCAAAAAATAGACATAGAATGTGTCGCAGCTGGCGCTGGGTGTGCGTTCACATAGCGGGCTGCATTTGGGGCTCGGCATGCATTAAATAGTACATTGAGAGTGCGTGTAACGTGCTGCGTCTGCAGCCGGGCATTTAATAAATAAATAAATATTTTATTAAGTGCCCATGTAGCATGCTGCATTTGGTCATGCGTTAAATACTGTGTTAGACAGTGCACTGAGCTGCCTTGGGCCAGATGTGCATTCAATGTGTGTGTAATGTGCTGTAGTTGAGGTTGCACATGCATTAAATAGTGCATGGAATAGGCACGTGGCATATCGCAGTTGGGTTGTGTTAAAGAGCGCATTAAATGCACGTGGAGCATCTTGCATTCCTGGCTGATCCCATCCTGCTGCGCAGCATGATTCAAGAACAAAACTAGAGTGATGCAGGACAGCCTTTGCCCCGCTCAGGAGGTGCAGAATTGAACCTGCCTTTTTAAGTCGGGGTTAGGTGAGGCAGAGATGCAGGGAGCTGCAGCAGGCACGGAGCTGGTTTTCCACCTCTGTTGCTGCTGGGTGGGACCCTGCCAAGGGGATTTCACAGCCCTGAGCAGTGTGTGGGTGGGCAAGGGGCACCAAGCAGTAGAGCCATAGGGTTGCAGCTCAGTGTGTTCCCACTGTTGGGAACAAACAAACTTGTTGGGATGTCTGAATTGCAGGACTCTGCCCAGGCCATTGTGCAGTCTTGGGGTCCCCCCAAGCAGGACAAGAAACCAGAGAGAAAAGCAGTAAATGCAGCATGGAAACGTGCCAAACACAGGCATCCTGCAAGGCAGCTCAGAGGGAACATGATGCCAAAAGAAACCACAGCCAACAGCCTGGCTATGGCACTGGCTGGGGAGAATTAATATCTCGCTAAAGCTGCTCTGCATTCCTGCTTTTCTGTGTGCTTTGCGCTGTGGCTGGGAAGCCTGTTCCAGCCCTGCTCCGCCGCTGGAGCTCCCAGGAAGTCCCACCTGAATCTTCTCTTGGGGTGAATAATTCTCACTCGTTACTGTCTTCTAAACCCTACTAGACTACTGATGAAACCAGACTGGCTTGTATCCAAGTAATTGTTCTCCAGCTGCAGGATCAGATATTGCCAGAATTTCTTATCATGCAGCACAAGAACAGACTCTGGATCATACCTTATATGATGCTGCATGACACCCCGTCACCCCAGCAGCTGGATCTGTTTCTGCATCTCAATCCCTCATACTCTCCAAACTTCTCAATCCCCATTTTTTCCATTTCCTTCACCTTTCTCAACCCATCCATAGCCTGGGGGAGACCTGGAGGCTCTGGTGGGCTGCCTGTTGCTGTTCATGTTGGATGGCAGGGGGGGAAGGTAGCCCCTCTTTATGCCAGGGTGCCTGGAGCTCGACGTGTGCACTGAGCTGCAAACAGGAGTCAGCAAGGAAGCTATGAAGCTCCTGTAGCCCCCTGGATGGGGGGTCCTGGGCAAGGAAGGAGTTTTGGGGCAGTGTCACCCAGTGTCTGCATCAGGTACCGGGGTGGCATGAGCTTAGATCTTTTGCTTTACTGCAGGCCCAACGGAGGTTGTGTGAGATGCTGCCAAGTGCTGGTGTCTATTACTTCCCGTGGGAGATCAACAGCTCAGTCCCAGAGGGGGAGGCGCTGAGGACGTTTGGCAGGTGAGAAGGGTACCCCACTCTCCTTGCAAGCCAGGCCTTTCCTTCACTGGCTGACCCCCCTCCCTTTGTAATTGTTGCATCTCTGCAGCGCTGAGCTTCCCAAATCGATCATTCACAGGTTATGCAGCTATGACCTGGTGCGGTCCGAAGCCGTTCTCACCGCTCAGCACAGCTCAGCTCAGTACCAGGTCTGTGTGGATACCAAGTTTGTGGAACCGTTCCAAGCCCAGCTGGGATCTCGCTACATGGTCCTGGGAGAGGCTGAACACAGGGAAGGTAAATGCTCCAGGAACCAGTGCTCTTTGCTGCTGTTCTTGCTTCATCAGCTCCTTCATGGCTCCCTGGGTGCATGGTTAGATACACTGTCACTGAGGTTAGCGTTGGCCAAGGCAGGCTCATCTCATGCGGCTGCCTCTGGTCACACGAGCATGTGAGTGAGGGCAGGAGCAGCCTGTCTCTCCTCGTTGACTATGAGAAGAGCCACCCTTATCTTGGTGAAAATCCGGTGGTCTGGCAGAGATTTCGTTAGAAATAAGAAGTGCCTCAGCAGCATCGCTGAGCTTGTGAAACCTGTGCTAAAGCCTTCTGGCATCATTGCCAGCCACCACATCATCTTCACTCCAAACACGGCTGATTGCAGCAATACCTCATTGCGAGCTGGCTGGGTTGGTCTTTGCCATCCTTGAAAGGCTCTAATTATATCCCTGCCCTCAGACACAGGGCGTGAGGAATGCAGGCAGGCTCTGTCACGCAAGGTACCCTGTTGTCCTTTCCTGTGGTGCCCTGAGCATTACTCTAGCTGCTCTGTGCTTTGCGTGGGGAATTGATCTGGGCTGGGCCTTGGGGTTGTGAAGCAAATCCCGAGTGTTGTGTTGGCCACACCGATAACAAGCATTTGCATTCATGCCATTGAAATCCTCGGTGGCATGTGGAAAGCCACCTGCACATGGCATCTGGTGAGTGACCTGCTAAGTCACTGCTGCAAAATTCCTTTAGAAAGACATGTTATTTTGGTCATCACAGCTTAGGAGTGAATTGGCCCCATTTTGCAGGGGTGGAAAGGGAGCAGGCTGAGATGGTGGCTGTGTCACCAAGGTTTGTCCCCTTTTGTGCAGCTCCATGTTACCATTTGAATGCCACCGATGAACTCCTGGTTATAGTGATCACAGAGCCTCTTCTAAGCCCGGCTTTGTTCTATCCTCTTCTTCACAGAGGCATTTAGAAATGAACTTAGACCCCTGATCCCTGATGGCTTTTAGACAGGGAAAACTAAATTTCATCCAGCCACGAAGTAGATAGATGTTGCATGGCAGGCACTGGCACCATGTCCTGCACTCAGCATTCCCCAGTGCAACAAGAGTGCAGTGTCAGGCACCAGTATTTTGTAGCCAACAGGACAGAGAGAAAGCATGTCACTGAATTAACCTGCTCCCGGGGATGCTGCTCACATTGGTGGAGGCACGTGGCCAGTCCGGTCTCCTGCAGATTCTCGGGCTATGGTTATTTGGCCAGCTGGAGCCATATGCTACCTGAGGGAACCTCTCTGTTTGCCTCTGAAATGCTCCGTCTGTTTTTCTTTCTATAGAAACCTCCTGTTTATATTCCCAGGTGAGGGTCCTGTGGTAAAGGCGCGAATATTGACCTGTGTGGAAGGTATGAATGTGCCCTTGCTGGAACAAGCCATACAGGAGCAGAGGAAATACTTCAACGAGAGGCAGAAGTGGATGGGAAACAGCACGTCCTGACAGCAGCTCTGAGACCAGCCATATGCTGGTCCTTGCACTGCCATTTGCAACAAAATCGTTAAAAGTAGATTTAGAAGGTGGGTTTGCAACATACTGCTTTTTTTTTCTGTGGCATATAGCAAAGTAAAGTCACTAAGCAGGGAAACACTTGAAGACTGTTAGTCAGTATGTGACCGTGGGTTGTCCATTCATGCCAGGTGTCATCACTGAAAATAGCTCTGGGAAGCAGGTTTGTTGTTGCTTAAAAGGGCAGCTAAGGAAAGAGAGCGCTTGAGTTATACCGGTGCTTTTGTAATGCAAGGCTTGGAGACATCAGAAAAAGGAGAAGTCTCCAAATTTCGAGTTAAGCAGCTTACACCCACACGCACTACCAAAGCACTGTGGGTTACTGGGCTTCTGGCAGATTGGAGGTAAAGGGCATTAGTGCAAAGTTCGTTAGCCCCGTGTGGCTCTGGGTCTATGAGTGCATGTGTTTGGTGACTGTGACTCAGCTGCCACACAGGAGCGTTCCTGGCAAAACACTCACATATCTGAACTGACCAACAAAGAAACAAGAAGAACAAAGAGTCACTATTTTCAGTAGCACCTGCCTCTTTGGGTTTTCAGGAGCTGGTGTCCAAGTGGAAGGATTGACTTTAGCTCTAAAATAAATATTTGCAGTGCCCTGAGAACCACCACTTGACTTTCTTCCTTGACACAACTAAGTTTAGGAGACCTTAAATCACTATTTTTTGAAGCATCTGAAGGTTTTGATTGATATTTTCCTAAATAAAGATGAAAAGAAAAGGCAGTCTGTCTTTTATTGATTAAAAACCTCTTTGTTGCTAAGCCTAATGCATTAGGCCCTGCTGAAACCCCATGGATGATGTAAGAAAATCTAGCAATACGCAATTTTCCTCCCTCTCCTTAGTACAGGGTGTGTAAGGAAGTGCTTGACTTTGAAAAAGTTGCAAGAGGAGATGAAGTTACATCAGAACCACTCTGGTTTGAGGACGTGGTACCAGGCCCACCTAGCAGAATTAAACCATCAACAAAAAGACAGAAAATCACTTAACATAAGATGAGAATGTCAGTGCCCGAGAGAGAAGACTGGGACTGTGGTTTGCAGGGGAATTCAGCCTTTTCTGCTTTTTGCTCAAATTCGCTGGTGAAATGTTCAGAAAATAAGAACTGAAGCCATACAATGCACATAGAGTCATAGAATCACTAAGGTTGGAAGGGACCTTTAAGATCATCAAGTCCAACCATCAACCTACCCTGACAAAACCACTTCTAAACGATGTCCCCAAGTACCACATCTACCCTTTTTTTAAACACCTCCAGGGATGGCGAATCCACCACCTCCCTGGGCAGCCTATTCCAATGTCTAATAACCTTTTCAGTGAAAAAATGTTTCCTAATATCCAATCTAAACCTCCCCTGACATAACTTGAACCCATTTCCTCTCGTCCTATCACCTGTCACCAGGGAGAAGAGGGCAGCCCCCACCTCTCTACAACCTCCTTTCAGGTAGTTGTAGAGAGGGATAAGGTCTCCCCTCAGCCTCCTCTTCTCCAGGCTGAACACCCCCAGTTCCCTCAGTCGTTCCTCATAAGGCTTGTCCTCCAGACCCCTCACCAGCTTTGGAGCCCTTCTCTGGACACACTCCGACACCTCAATGTCCTTGTAGTGAGGGGCAATGATTCTGTATGGAGACATAGTGCAGACTCAACCTTCCCAAGCCACCAGAGAACCCACACAGGAGTTTGCCATAGCCATGTGGATCCCTCTTCAGCCACAGAGCAACCACGCTTTGGTTCTTTCAAACTGGCAAAATCAGGATCAGATTAAAAAAGATTTTGAGCTGGTGGCTCAGCAATGGGTCCTTTTTAGGTCACCTAAAAGTTGGGGTCTGCACTGCGGACCCACAGAGCTGGTGGGTTGCCGTGTCCTGCTGTGCCCGCCCAGAGATGTGGAGCCCCTAAACCCTCCATAAGACAGTCCCTGTGGCTCTACCTTTCCTGGTGCCACGCTGCATAATTTTTTTTTTAATCTTGTTTTCTGTTGGCTGTCAAGTCAATGATTAATCCCCCTTCCCCCAAGGACATCTTCCAAAAGGCTGACCAAGCAGCACAGCCCATGGTGGGGAGGTTCAAGGGACAATTGCGCAAGACCCCAAACAAAACAAAAACAAAAAAAAAAAGAAAAGAAAAGAAAAGACATTTCTGCTGTGCATTTGACCAGAGTATGTCCCAGGGAACCCCAATTACGCACTGCATCCCCTTGATGCCAGGCGCTGTACAGAGCTGCAGAGCTTTCCTTGGCTCTGTGCAGTCCCTGCTGCCTTTCCCGCAGGCCCAAAGCACCTCTTTACATCATCCATTTTGCTCAATTTTTTGCTTTAGCCAGCACACCGCACAACCTGGGTTGCCAGCAAGCAGTCCTGGGCGGTTGGTGTACAGCGTGTTTGGCTCTTTGGGTCTGCCAAAAGACCCCCTAACACCCCCGGCAGCCCTGAGGCTGCCCCCATTCAAGGCAGGTCCCTGTGCTGAGGGAGCAGCAAAGGGGGACTCAGACCCCAAAAGCATCTCACGGGACGCACAGGGAGAGCAAACACCTTCCACACATTTGGGTACCCTCCCTGCCCCCCCTTCTTTTTTTCGCCTCAGAAAGCGGTGCCAGCCACTCCTCCTGCCATCGTGAGGCTGAGGCAGTGCCATGGATGCCTTCCAGGAGATGTTTCAGAAGTTGGAGAAGATTGGGGAAGGCACCTACGGTGTGGTGTACAAGGCTCGCAACAAGCGCACAGGGCAGCTGGTGGCCCTCAAGAAGATCCGCCTGGACTCGTGAGTGGGGCAAAGCCCCGGCCCTGGGGCTGCCATGGCCTGGCCCAGCCCTGTGCCCACCCAGCCCACCATGGCGCCAGGCCGGCTGCCACCTCAGCGCAGCGGCAATAGGGTGCTGAGGCAAGACGGGAGGAGAAGGCGGCAAACAGCTGCTCTGGGGCCAGAAGTGCCATCTGTGGGGAGATGGCCACCATCTGAGCCCACCAGTGCCCCAGCCCTGCCATGGGAGTGAGCAGGAGGGGCCCTGAGCCCAGCCCAGTGTCCAAAATGATGCGAAAGGCTCAGAAAAGCCTGACATGAGGGGAAAAAAAAGTCTCTATCATCTCATGAAAGCAGCTAAGGCCTGACCTGGTGCTACCTGGCCCTGGTGCCATGGCCCCGGGCAGGGAGAAGTAGCCACCATTTTGGGAGGTGGCCTCTCCCTCAGGGCTGTGGTGTTGGGGCCTGGCAAGGCTCAGCCTTCCAGCAGGGCCGACTTCAACCCCTCCATGGCGGGGACTGAGCAGATAAAAGCTTATTACTGTTTCCCTTGGTTGGCCCTGGGCTGTCTCCATGATGAGGGGTGTCAACATGGACCAGGGGGCATGGTGGTGGGACTGCACCCCATCGTGGCCCCTCAGGCCGGTGGAGGTGGTGGCCTGAGGGGCAAAGAGTTTTCATCTGCCCACATCTCCGAAAAGCGAGGCGTGGGCATTTAAACCCCATTGTTGCTTCTCCAAAAGTACTCTCAGGTGCTCCCAAACAAGCTCTGCCCCAGGGCTTGCACTGTCTAGGACGCCCCCTCCCTCTCCTTCCCCATGGCTCCATTTCCCCCTGCCTCACCCCAGCCCACCCCACACACAATTCCATCCCAAACCCGGGCGCCCAGTGTGAGAGACCCTCAGAAGGGACACAGGACACCGATGGGCTGTGGGATCCCACTGGGGGACAGGGTGCCATACAGCCTGTCTCTGCTACAGGGAAACAGAGGGCGTCCCCAGCACTGCGATTCGAGAAATCTCACTGCTGAAGGAGCTGAAGCACCCTAATATAGTCAGGTAAGACCTGGATGAACCCTCCCCACCAACTCATTGATGAGCCCCTGCTTGGGGAGCTCCAGCTACAGGCAGCAAGAGGGCTTTTCCTGTCCTTCCCTGACTGCACAGATGGGAGCAAAATGAACAGGAAAAAGCAGGAATCACTTGCACTTCCCTAGTTTGCAGCAATAGTCCACAGCACTGCCACTTCACTCCAGCAACACAGGCTGGTCCAAGCTGCTGCTGCCCTATACTAGATGCTGTTTTTCTATCTGCCTGTCTCTGCTCCGAAGGACTCACAAAGCAGAGGCATCTGTGGGAGGAGGGATGTTTGGGTATTTGTAAAGGTCTGGAGAAGGTGCTGAAAGGTACTAAAGGAAGTGCTTGCATTTCATTGACCTGGACAGGTTGGAGAGTTGGGCAGAGAGAAACCTTATGAAATTCAACAAGGGCAAGTGTAGGGTACTGCACCTGGGGAGGAATAACCCCATGCATCAGTACAGGTTGGGGGCTGACCACCTGGAAAGCAGCTCTGTGGAAAGGAACCTGGGAGTCCTGGGGGACAACAGGATGACCGTGAGCCAGCAGTGTGCCCTGGTGGCCAAGAAGGCAAATGGCATCCTGAGGTGCATCAAGAAGAGGGAGGTCATCCTCCCCCTCTACTCTGCCCTGGTGAGGCCGCATCTGGAGTACTGTGTCCAGTTCTGGGCTCCCCAGTTCAAGAAGGACAGGGATCTGCTGGAGAGGGTCCAGCAAAGGGCTACAAAGATGATGAGGGGACTGGAGCATCTTTCTGATGAGGAGGGGCTGAGGGACTTGGGTCTCTTTAGTCTAGAGAAAGAAGACTGAGGGGGGATCTTATTAATGCTTACAAATACTTAATGGGAGGATGCCAGGGGGATGGGAACAGTCTTTTTTCAGTGGTGCCCAGTGATAGGACAAGAGGTAATGGGCACAAACTTGAACATAGGAAGTTCCATCTTAATATGAGGAGCAACTTCTTCACTTTGAGGGTAGTAGAGCGCTATAATAGGCTGCCCAGAGAGGTTGTGGAGTCTCCCACTCTGGAGACATTCAAAACCTGCCTGGACGCTGTCCTATGCAATCTGCTGTAGGTGACCTTACCCTGGCAGGGGGGGTGGACTAGATGATCTCCAGAGGTCCCTTCCAACCCTGACCACTCTGTGATTCTGTGATTTGCAGGCTCCTGGATGTGGTGCACAGCCAGAAGAAGCTCTATTTGGTGTTTGAGTATCTGAATCAGGACCTGAAGAAATACATGGACTCATCCCAAACTGGAGAGCTGCCTTTAAGCTTGGTCAAGGTACACTGTGGAAGGAGTGCTAACAGGCAGGGCAGAGAGCCTGGGTCCTTCCTGCCTTCTGCTGGGCAGAACCAGCACTGAGCTGCTCTTACCTAGGCTGCATCTGAAAGAGATTCATCTTTGGCTGGAGGCATTCAACCTCTCAGTTCTCAAACATTTGAGCTGGGAAAACCTCGTGGCACGTTTATTTCCCAGATGTTTTCAGGCTCTCCAGTCCATCTGGCTGCAGAACAGACTGCTGTTAAGAGGACAACTAAAGGATCTATTGTTAATTGCCTTTGTGCAGAGTAATGGATGGGTGGAAGGGGCTGCCACTGCTTGGTCTCTCTGTCCCCATGTAGGGTGGGAACAGTTTGTGTGCGTCTCTGAGTAGTGGCCCACAAGCCTGGTGTTGCATTATGGCAAGGTCTTCTTTCCCATTCCAGCCTGTAAACGATCCAAAGTGTGTTGGTTCACACAATCCAGCCTTCAAAGTAGGTTCATCGTGGCCTTCTCTGAAATCTCTTCTCTCCTTAGAACTACCTTTTCCAGCTGCTGCAGGGCGTGAGCTTCTGCCACTCGCACAGAGTCATCCACAGGGACTTGAAGCCTCAGAACTTGCTGATTAATGAAGCGGGAGCAATCAAGCTGGCTGATTTTGGACTGGCAAGATCTTTTGGAGTCCCTCTGCGCACATACACTCACGAGGTATTGTTGAGACTCCTTGCCACCTGAGAGTGGGGTACACAACCCATAGTTGGGTGAACAGCAGCAGCAGCACAAGTTACTCATTCATAGCTGCGGCACAGCTGTGCCCAGGCACATGCTCTTAACCCAACCCGCAGCTAAGGGCTTACCTCATGTCACCACAAAGTGTGCTGACTGCTTCTACCCTAGCTTGCCTGCAAGCTGGGTTCCACCGTCTCTGCATTGGGTATATTTATTTCTTCCAGCGCGTCCTGTTAAAGAATAATCTGTTAATCCCCATCTTGCTGTCACTAAGGCGTTTGTTAATTGAGCATGGCCGTGGCACACTGATTTGTACAGTCGCTGCATTACAGCTGAGGAGAGGGGATCCCAGGCCTCTAGTTTCACCCAGGGAAACTAGACAAATCTTGTTTGTTGGTTCCTTGCCAGGTGGTGACTCTGTGGTACCGAGCCCCTGAAATACTGCTGGGATGCAAATACTATTCGACTGCTGTGGACGTCTGGAGCATCGGCTGCATCTTTGCAGAAATGGTAGAATGGGTTTAAATAGTCTCTTTAATGAGCAGGGAGGATGCAGCTGCAGTGGGAAGTGGGGAAGGAGGGACACGACACAGAACATCTGTAATACTGCGGTCCTACCCTGTGCTGGGGTGTGTATTATAGGAAGTCCACCCTGGGGGCTAGCTGATCCTTAGCTGTGGGCTCCAAAGGAAATCTGCCACTGTCGGGGGCCTGGGAGAAGGCAAAGAAGCCTCTGTAGTCCAGCTGCAGTCCCGGGTATATGGGAATGCAGTGCCTGTCCTTGTGGAAGGGGTAACTTCAGTCCTGTTGCTGGAGCATTTTGATCCTGGGAGGAGATGGCTCTCTTGCAGATGTCCCTGCAGTGGGCTGCAGGGAACTAGCACTTGACAGCATGGCAGAGTAGATCTCCTAGGGGTCCAGACGCCACTTTGAAGAGCTCTTGTTATCCCTGCAGTGTAACAGCACGATCCTCAGCTCCCAAAGCCCCCGAGCTGCAGATCAGCAGAGCCTGGGCGAGTAGGCGGGGAGGGAGCTAGCCTGCAAGAGTGGGTGTTAGGACACTGGAGAACAAGAGGGATAAGGGACTAGCTGAAAGAGGGACAGCCTCAGGGGAGCACGGATCCATGGAGAGGACCTGGAGACAAGCAGACAGCCACCCATGGCTTTCCCAACCACTGCCTGGCAGAATCGCTGCATTGTCATTGCCAGCTCTGTGCGGTTGCTTGCATCTGTGGGGACAAAGGGTTGCTTGCAGTGGGAAAGAGGGCACACAGCTGATGAAGAGGTGGGAACTGGCCTTTTGTCTTTTTTTCCCCAGGTGACCAGGAAGCCCCTGTTTCCAGGGGACTCTGAGATCGACCAGCTCTTCCGCATCTTTCGCACCCTGGGCACTCCCACCGAGGTGACCTGGCCAGGGGTGACCCAGCTCCCTGACCACAAGAGGGACTTTCCCCGGTGGGCAAGGAAGGAGATGAAGGAAATAGTTCCCAACTTAGATCGCGACGGTAGAGACTTACTGGTGGTGAGTGAGAGCTCAGAACAAGACCCAGGGACAGACAGGACCTTTTCAAAGTGGGCAAAGAACAGGGGTATTTGGGACTCATTTAGCCAGAAGTGCATTAGCTGATCTGGCTCTGATGATACTCCTCTCTGCCACCGCAGAAACACCGAGTCATCGAATAGGGCTCAGTCCTGGCTCTGAAGTGGGGCTCTCAGTGCAGGTTCCTCTAGGAAACCACTGCATCAAGGGCCAAGAGACCCTTCTAGCATCATCCCCATGGGGACTTCAGCTGGGGGTTACTCCTGAAGCCCAGCCAGGGGAAAAGGCAGGACCAACATCTGCATCTGGGCCCAGCCACGGGCAGGTCCAATCATAGAATCATAGAATGGTTTAGGTTGGAAAGGACCTTGAAGATCATCGGGTTCCAAGCCCCCTGCCATAGACAGGGACACCTCCCACTAGACCAGGTTGCCCAAGGCCACGTCCAGCCTGGCCTTGAACACCTCCAGGGATGGGGCCTCAACAACTCCTTTGGGCAACCTGGGCCAGTGCCTCACCATCTTCACAGTGAAAAAGTTCTTTTTAATGTTTACTCTAAACCTGCTCTCTTCCAGTTTAAAGCCAATCCCTCTCGTCCTATCACTACATGCCCTAGTAAAAAGTTCTTCCCCAGCTCTTGGGAAGGTCTTGGGTACTTCATTTTCCAAATCCACGCCTTTGCATCCTGCGTTATGGGCAGTGTGGCTGCAGTCCTTGCCAGTGGAGATTAAGGCAAAAAATTTGTTGAGGACCTCAGCTCTGTCTTGATCTGTCACTTGTTTTTTAAAACACTAAATCCGCTGTGTTTTTCTCTTGGCAGCAATTGCTCCTGTACGATCCCAGCAGGCGCATCTCAGCCAAGGCAGCCCTCAATCACCAGTACTTCGTCTGCAGAAGCCCTCAGGAGCAATGCGCGCTACAGAGACACTGCAAATGAGAAGACACAGCTCTCCCCATGAGCTTGCACCTCCGGGTAGTGGTGCAAGTCTGATTTTGAGCACTGAACAGGGCGCTGGCTGGGACCCAGGGTCTCACTTCTCCTGGGGAGCCCGGAGTGGGACATTCTTGCATTTAGAGACTCTCAGCCTTTTGCTGGGGGGAGGTTTGTCTAGGTTACAGCCAGCAGAACTGTTTTGAAGAGGTCGTGTGGGAAAGTGTGGGGGGATATTTATCAGCATAAAATACTGAAATGTAGATGAGAGAGCATCTTTCAGAGGTTGTCCTAGTGTCAGTCAGGAAGCTAAGGTGACGCACAGTGATTTCGGTCTCTCCAGCACTGGAGCACCCCCACGTCTGTTGGTGGCAGTTTCTGACACCAGGGTGTGCTGGAGCTCCACTTTGGGTAGGGAAGCGCTTCTCTGCTCAGCCCTTTGCTGTGCTTACCGACGACCGGGCTTGTCAGCACCAGCCAAATTGCTTAATCTGAGCTGTTTAACAGAGCTGACATTCTGCTGTTTCACAAGCTGAAGAGCACTATTAGGTACCTTAATTTGTGCCTTAGCTGGGACCAAGATGTCAAAAGATCCAGTTAGCATAAACCTCTTGTTTGCATGTTGGCTGCAAACAGTAACAGCTAGAACACTGCCTTTCCATTGTCGGTCCAGAGGTACTGCTGTTTCCTTCACCTTATTATCTTAGAATTTTTTTTTGCTATTCTAATGTTTGGAGAATTGTCACTAACTTTTGGTGTGGTTTTGACGTCTTCATTTGCCTCTTTCAAGTACAGAAAAAAATAAAGGCTTGTCATTTGCTCACTCACCGAGAGGAATAGCTCTGATGCAGGCACGTCCGCAAGGAAAAATGGGCTTTTTTTTGAGCTTTTTTGAGCCAGGGAAGCACCAGGGCGACACAGGGACCCGCAGAACACCGGCAGCTCGAGGGAGAGCAGCGGACGCGAAGGGGCTGAAGCAACGGCAACGGCGGCTCCTCCACTGCCGTTAAGAGGAAAAATAACCTGTGTTCCAGATCCCCGTAGTAACTGTCCCAACGCCCTGATATGTCTTTTAATCATTTTTGTGCTGCGATTCGCACACTCGTCCCCCCCCGCCCCCCC